CTTGGGTCATCCCTCATTAAGCTGGAAATAAAGTAATAGTCATAGAAAAACTTCAAGCTTTAAAATTTATGAAATCAATGTTTTTGAGACCTATCCCTCCTGAAAAAGGCATAAGCATTAAAAATCCGCCCTTGAAACTACGCAACATAAGTTTAAAAAGTAAGCCGAACCCATTTACCCGAAAAAAATTCGAGTTGTTAACTTAAAAATACAGAACAAGTTTGAACACAGAAGCGAAGCTTTGCTTCGCAAACACTAGCCAGAACACGACAAAAAGCAGCTCAATTAAGTGCAATACAAAATTAGAAATGAGCCTCGAGTTACTAAAAAATAGGCTACGTCTCGGATTTGATCTGTGACCTCGAGATTATGAGTCTCATTTACTAACCAATCATCCGCGGACGCTTCACAAATCACAAACACTATCAACAAGTAAAGCACAGAACAGATGCTGAGGAACTTCCAACGCTTAAGATAAAAATTATTGCAAAAGTTCCACCAGATATATGAATACTTTTCTTAGCGAGTTAGCTTAGAAAAAATGAAGGTTCGTACTAATACACAACGCTTCGTAAGTGCGAGTGTAATTATAGTTAAAAATGGGGGCCCAGCTAAAGCTGGAGGTATATGTTTGATAAATTTGTAGAGCAACCTTACGCAATTTTCTACTGAATTAAGTTATTAGCCGCGAGTACAATGGACAGACCTGATACGCTTTCTTACAGAAAAGCTGATACTGATCTTTATAGATCTTGTAAAAGCCTTTGATTAGGTGGACAAGACAGCACTGCTCACAGCCCTAAGAAGTCGAAAAGTGGGCAAACCTCTGAGTCGCATCATTTGGCAGCTGCATGAGCAGGCTGGTTAGACAAGCAGAAAAAGTTCGTGCCTGAGAGAGGGGCGAGACTGAGGTGCGTAATCGGCCCCACTCTCTTAAACCTATATTTTGACGAAGTGTGCAAGAAAGGTGTGAAAAGAGGCTCAGGGATCGGTCACCTTGCATATGATGATGATTTAGTGATTATGTCCGGCACAATCGAAGAGGCACAAGAAAATCTTGATGCTATGAATCAGGGAGTCCAAAATGCAGAGATGGAGATATCATTAAGTGAAACCGAGATGGTTGTATTGAATAGAGAAGTATCGAATGATATCTACCTTAATTTCGAAAAAGTTTAGGTAAATTCTTTTGTGTATCTGGGCAGCTCGCTAAAAGCGGAAGGAGACATTGGCCAAGCAATAGCAAACAAATGCAGGAAAGCTAGAACAGCAATTGTGAGATTGAGGCCAGCTCTAGTAAGTGGCTCAATCAGGATGAGAACGAATGTGCGGTTAGTAAAGACTTTTATTCAGCCAACGCTACTACGCGGGTTTGAAATTGCAGTCATCAGGAAAGTCGACGTTGGCAAACTAAATGCAGTTCTGAACAACGCCAGGAGAATGATCCTCAAACTGGACAGCAAGAGGACATGCACTAACGTTCAAACTGCAGAGAAAGTTCAGTTGAAAAGCATTGAAGTAGAAATGACTGTACGACGGGCAAACCTGTAGATTTCACTCAAGACGCTTCATGTAAAAGCAGAAACATCACTCGCCCAAAAAAGCAAGGTGTGCAGCAAAGACTGGATCAGGGCAGTAAATCTGGACCTCGAAAGGCTAGTGGTGCTGGATACAGAAAAATGACTAAAATACCCAAAACCACTAAAGTACAATCAGAAAGTGGATCAGTCAGTTCAGAGAATGGCCGGCTCACGCCCTGAACTAGTCAATTCTGATTTGGAAATTGCAACAGAAAGTCTGCTGAAAGAAAGGAGATGCCGAGACATCTCAGAAACGATCATGATGCACAAGAACAGTCGGGGTTAAATACACTCGACATGGCACCTTTCAGCGTAGATGTACCAAAGGATCTAAAGTACCAAAAGGTTGCAAAATTCAATACAAGACACTCAGGTGGCTGAAAGCGCACATTAAGACAGCTCAACCGCAGTGCACTTTGAATTGCGTAGAAAAATCAGTAACAATAGAACAACAGTCACCAGATGAGGATGAACTAGAAGCAACTGCAGAGGAAGAAAAATACTCTGCAAATGACCCGACCATTCATCAGTGCCCGAAGTATCCAAGATTTTAAACAGTGCTGGAGAGCTTGCAAAACCATATCTTCGAGAAGCAAGCGTGGTCATACAGTCTTCAGATGCCTGTACGGGGAAGAGAGACTGGAAGCTCTCGTGCTCAAAATCCTTTCATCCGATAACGCCCCTAATCGGGAGTCTAGCTTGCCTTCTGCCAACTTCTCAAAGGTCTGTAGACTAAATACCTCAGATTGGAGCACTCTATCAAAGGGAGGGGCACTCTTTCCTACAATTGAAAATGAAATGAAATTGAGCAGGGTAGTGGAACTTTCACGCAACATGTTCTTTTTATCTAACCCGTGACTGCAAAGCCGATTATACCAGGAAGACTCACAAAATCTGCTTTTCGATTAAAAACTAAATCTCAGATTTCTCAGGGCAGTTTTCGAAAAGAATTAAAACATTTGCAAAATTTGGAAAACGACTAAAATTCCAGAAAGGTAAGTTTCCAAGGAAATAACGTTCTTTTCTTTCGAAAAGAAGGAATTCGGCATTTCTGCAGGAAAAAATGTTCAAAACCGGTTAATTGGATTCACAAAATCCTTAATCTCATATTTAGTAGGTATTTTTTTAATAGATTAGAGATTTTTTTTAATAGGGCGCTTTGTGCATGGAGCTTTCCACCGATTGAATAACTTGCCATAACTAGTGTAAAAAAAATCGGCGAAGACGCATGTGCAAGGGAATTTCACAGAAACTGTGCTTTCGATAGAACCTAAAATCTCTGATTCGGTTGAGTTAATTTCAAGACAAGTAAAAAAAGACAGTCCCACAACCTGCAATGTCAATTGAACTCAAAATCTTAGTAATGGATCGAAAGTTTTCGAGAAAATGAAAAAAAAATTGGTTTTGAAATACCTCCCATATAATTTTTCGAGCTGTAGAAAGGTGAAAGGAGACTAAGGGACTGTGCAGGCAGACAGGGTAGTGTGATTTCTTTCTAGTGGAACCACTTCTTCGAAAATCAGTAGGATAGTTTTGAGAAAACTTAAAAAAACAGTAGTCGAAACACACTCGAAACCGGTTCGCTTAAAATTAGCCCTTTATCGCGATAATCTAATATTGAGTTGACAAGAACTTCATTAGATCGCATTCGATCCAAACTTACAGGCACTTGAGACATACAGTTAGAGGTACGTTTTTCTGATTATTATAAAAAAAAACTCCAATGACTGAAGTTTTTTGTAAATTTGTTACACTTTTCATATTAGGATTTAACATGTTTTGTTTTATTGTAATTTTTCAAAGGCTGTAGAAAAAAGGGCAAGGTAGAAAAAGACTAAAGGACTGTGCAGATAGACAGGGCAGTGGGATTTCTTTCTGTTGGAACCACTTTTCCTAAGTCTCGGTACGATACGGTGATTTTGAGAAAAACTAAAAAATTTGCAAGAAAAAAAGTTCAAATCGTCTAAAAAATTTAAAAAAGCAAATCCCATACATTTTCATAAAATCTGTTTTATTCAAACAGGAACTGTTCGAATCAAGCGGGAACTGTTCGAATCAAAAATCAAAAAAAAACTTAAGCTTTGGAAAGAAACTGTTTGAAAAACGCACCAGATAATAAATTGCATTAAGAAAAAACAACGGAGAATCAGACGACAGAAATTAGGACGGAAACCACAAATCCAAAAACATCAGCATTGTTTCAATATGTATATTAATGAACATTGCCAATCGAAGATTGGAAAAGAGTAATGAAAGCAAGAAACAAAGAAAATCAATGACCGACCCTTTTGTGGAGAGGATCGCACGGATCCGGACCAACAAAGGGAAGAAAGTTTCAGACGGAATGGTTAAAATCAGGAGTCAGAAGTCCTCTGAAAGCCAAAAGGCAATGTTAGAAGTAGAGACTCTGCCCTGGATGAGAATCGGGCGGGACGAGGAACGGAAGGGAATGGGAACAGAAGATTGGCGAGTGAATCTACTCAGGTAGAACAAGGCCAAGATTTTTCCACTTCCAACGGGACTCTAGATCGAGAGGAGATGTCGGAACTGTCCGATATCTCGACTGAAAACGTGGCGACAACAAGATCACCCACTGATAACACCATGATGCATAGGGTGACCGAGAAAGCGGCGACGTCCTCCTCGTTTTCAGAACGAGTGAAGAACACTTTGGAAAATTCTTCCCATTAAGGTAGTGAAGCCATTTTTCTGATAACATTAACCCAACTTGGGAAAACTGGATCAATAGGTTAAGTTTTTATTCCTCTGAAAATCTAAAAAATTAATTCCACTTTCGAAACTAAAAATCATTCACGTTTTTTTTTGCGCCATTTTCACGTTCGTATTTGGAGAGTGCTAATTACGTAACTTTCAGCAGATGAATTTCAATTGAATTTCAAAAGAGCATATATACCTAAGTGCATCAATACCAGCGTGAACAGATTATAACTTTTTCTTCACAAATCTGCAAGACCTATATAAGAGTCTTCACTATGTTTTTCACTCTTAAAAACAAAACTAAGTACTACCTCAACTGAACTAAGAAGTAGTTTTATTTGAAGTTTAAAGATATTGAGCATGTCAGCATGAATTGAAGTGTAAGAAACTAAATTGCAATTGATAGAAATTTGTAGGAAACGTTGTTTACGGGAAAAAGTCTAGTTGCTCTCGCGAGTGAAATTAGACTTGTTTTCTTTTCATGGAACTTTACAAAATTTTAAAATAACCAGATTTTCCTGAAAACTAATTATATTTACAAAAACACAAAATCAAATGAATCAACATCAGATATTCTAACTATGCAACAAAAGCAAGCAATTACAATAAAACATTCACAAACAATTAGACGAATTAAATAATGATAACTTAAATTGCATTGAAAACTGAGACGTTTTATTAAAAACTAATTAACAAAAAATGTTAAAAACTCACCAGCTTCGTAATATGAACAGCGCAATATCCTCTGTACGCGACATTAGAGCTACTGTTACTCTCATTATTTTCTCCGTTGGCATTTCCTGGAGACAGACTGTTGTTGTTGTTGTTTACAAACTCCTCGAATAGGAAGCCTTTTTCCTGGGCACAGGTCACGTGAAATGCAGATTTACATCCCACTTTGGCACATGACATACACGCACCTATGGGTGAAATGTTACAATAGGTGGTACAATTATTACCTGTGTTTTATTGAAATACATGCCCAAAATGAGTCATTTTCTTTATAATTTTAACATGATTCAAAGGAGAAGACTGAACCATTCTTTTGCTCGAAGAAACCAAGTAGTCTAAAAAAATGCGATCTTATCTTTTCCAGATCATACAAATACACAGGTCCGGCTCCATTATTTTTTTGCGTCATATATCCCAGAAAGCTTGTATTTCCCTACTTGATTTGGTATTATAAACATAGCCAACAGACATTTGAAAAAGAACCAATGAACACAAGTAAACAGAAAAAAATCGATTTCTAGGATTGACACTTTTTGAGACAATTAAACCAATTTGAAAAACAATCAATAAGTAAAAGTGAAAACTAAATTCTGAAAACTAAATTCCATTTTAAATTCCATCGATCGTATTTTTCGTGGCTTTTACTCTTTTGCTGTTCGATACTGAAATTTGCCTTCCTTTTAACAAAAAAATGAACAGGACATAACAAGAAACAAACAGTCATTCAGCGAGGAAGCCTGAGCAAAATTTAAAACAGTTCCTGAAAAACCGAAAAAAAATAACGCGACCTATATAAGAGTCTTAACTATGTTCATCAATTCCTGAAAACGTAAGAAAAAATCGTGACCTTTTTTAAAACTTTATGGTTAAAACTAACCAACTATAAACCACCTATTATAACATATCACCGCACCTTGGCCTGCTAAATGATTCTGTTGTCTCTCTGTGCATATCGAACACGTCTGTTTGAATCTTTCTTTTGGGACATTTGTTACTATGATTGGCTCCAAAGCAGCCATATCTCCAAAACTGACTTCTTGGATGTACAGGGCACAGACTACGTGGGCCCAACCTGGAAAAAAAAACAAATTGTTTACTTTATAAACACCAGGAAATCTGAAATTAAACCAAAGAAACACAAGAGATTTGCTTAGAAAAAAAAGAGATAAAACATAAGGCAAAAACATTAACACACAGAGGCGAAGCAGAGCTTCGCGCCACTTGCGATGCATTACAAACATGAAAAGAGACAAAAAAAAATGGAAAAAATGAGAATATAATCTTATGAGAATATAAAAAATGAGAATAGAGTCATATAATCTTTCATATGTCTCGATAGAAGTTCATTTCAGGCAAACATTCCAGACACTTAAACTTTAAATCAGCAACAACGGAACAAATTTTACGAAAAGAAATACAGACGACAATCTTTGAGCAGACAAATTGAGCCTAAAAATGATCTTATAAAAAATTAAGTCTAAAGTCCCACCTTAGATAAATGGAAAACACTTCAATTTGCAACTACAATGAAAGTTGTTTACAGCAAAAAAACAGAGATGTGGCAACTAAGCCAACAACCTTTGATCTGAAACCAACTGAACCAAAATTTTTCTAATTAATTTTTCAAGTTCCATTGAAACTAGAATGAACAGCACTTGCATATGAGAACGTTAAAAAAATTTGCATGCAGTGAAAAAAAAATAATGATGTGGTAAGTAAGCCGACAATCTTCAAGCAGACATCAACTGAAACGAAAAAAAAAGATTTTATGAATTTTTTTTAAAATCTTTCAAGTCCCCTTGAACTTAGAATGAACAACACTTGCACTTACAACTATAATGAAAATTGTCTACAGCACAAACCAAATCCGTTGTTAAATTTGAGTTTTCAAGAAATTGAGCATGTCAGTCACTTGCATAGTCAGCTGCATAATCAGCAAGTGATTCAACTGATTTTGTCAAACTAGTTGTTAACTAGAAAAAACTATATATTCCAAGTTTGATTCCCTTAAAGCTGTTTGAATTTCAAGAACATTCATGACTGGCACTTTTTCTTTAAAAATAAACCAAATTGAGAAAACTGGATCAATTGTAAAAAAAATTATTCGCCGAGAAATCTGAAATTAAAATCCAACTTCGAAAAACTTGGAAACTTAACAAAGGAAATGACCTGAACTTAAAAATAAATCGAAGCTCAAGCCGCGAAAAAAGTAAATTTGTGCTTGAACGAACTTTAAGACTTTTCATGAAAAAAAAGTAAAAAAGATCATCGCTGCCTGTACAAGGCAACTTCCCAAATAACATAACTCCCAAATGGCATAATTAGGAAACTTTTCCCATATGACATAATTCATTGTAATTCAAACGGTTTCTAACGATCTCAAATTCTAACAATTTGTCAGGAACAAAAATATGTGAAATTTGGAATTAATAGCTTCCAAACAAATGGTCAGCGACTTATGCTTTTGATAAAAACTCTACAATTTTTTCAAGATAAATATCAATCAGCATTTGAAGTGAAAACTTGACCATGTTCGCACATCACGAAAAGTTTACTTCGATTTTTTAAATGCAACTGTTGCATGAAATTTACACCATTTGGGAATTTTTTCATTTTTATGCCATTTGGGAATTATGCAATTTAAGATGTAATCCTATATAAGAGTCTGACCTACGAACAACGACTCTTAAAACATTACTCGCTTTACACTAGAAAAGCACGCCGTAGTTTCTTTCTAAAAACGGAAAATTGCATAAAAACTCTACGAAAAGCTAGCACGTTCAGCTCTTTGAAAGATAAAATTTAATTTAACGTTTATTGAGTTTTTTAAACGACTAGTTGAAAATTAGAAAATTAGTTTTCAAACACTTGAATACCAAAAACTTTCACTGCGCGCAATTAAAGACTATGCTTGAAACAGTCTGATTTCTTTAATTGAACATGACTCGTCTGCTAAATTTTAGCCCGGTCCAACGGGTTTGAAAAAAGTCATATTTCCGTATCTCTAAAAGAGTATAGCTGCTTTTCATTACGTCTTTGGAGCAGTTCAAAAATTTTTCTCAATTCCTGTATTTTTTTAATCTTCTAAAAGTAAATATAGGATGATTGTGTTCCTAAATTTACACCTTTGAGCAACAAACACGTGACATACTATTTCATCTTTACCCCTCAATTCGGGGACTATCTCTTTTTCCATCTTTCTGTATATTCATTTCTCTACTTAGTTAATCCTACCGAAAAAAGTAGAGTAAATAAACCAGCCGAATTAAAAACCAACCGAACATGCGCAGAGTATAAAAACCTGACAATTTACGAAAAAAAAGTATACAACCCAGACGAAAGTTACGTCATTTGAGCGAAATTTGCCTGACTTATAACTGTTAGAATTATTGCATAATTATTATATTACAGTTTCATATTTTCTGCTAGTTTATATGGTAGCTGGTTTATATTTCGGCTGTATTAGAAACCACCAAAAAACTACATGCACTTATTAAACGCCGTCAGCAAAATAAAAAAAAGCAACGCAGACCATTTTAAGTGCATTAAACAAAAATTGCGAGAAAAAAAACTTTTCCTATTTATTTCCAGCATTGCGCCAACATATGATATGTTAAGCTTACAGCAGTCGTCTAGCTCAAATGTGCCGCTTTTTCAATATAAACACTACTTAGTTTCTATGGCTGTTCTCTGATAACTAAACAAAGTACTTTTAGCTTTAACATCTAATAATCCATGGAAAACGGAAACTTGTTTTTTTTCTGCTTCCATATATTTCAATAAATTGACAATTTATAAAGACAGAAATTTCTCTAAAAGCCGACTAAAATCTACTTTTATTTGCGTTTAGCAGAAAAAAGGCGCCATATATCAAACAGAACTGCTTTTTCACAGCTACAAAATCACGAACAACAATTTGCACCAGTAAAAAAACGGTGCCAATTTTCTCCGCTTATGACACGTTTTGAGAGGTAGAAAAAAAAGATAACACACATTGAAATATGATAAGAAAGTGATTCTTCATATTTCACTAGAAGCCACTAGATTTTTTTGCGAACAAAGAATGAGTGAATTGCTGAAAATTAAGCTTTTCCGAAGCTTCTTAAATTTAATTGCATTTTTATCGTTCAGTTAGAAATTCAAATGTATATACTGACTAGTAGTAAAAATCAAAAATGGTAAAAAATACTTTAAACGTAGATACTATTTGAATGAACAATTAAGATTTCTTTGAAAAAACAGAGTCCATTATTCATTAGAAACCCACTAAATTGGGCCAATAACTTACTAAACATTATACCTTAAGCTAAACTGACAAAAATTTAGACTGACCTTTTTATAACCACCATTTTTAGCTATGAATCAATTTAAGATGCTGAGATGATTGCGAAAAAACTTCCAAAAAAAGTTTTACATCTCAAACAACGGCACAACTTGAACTCACCTCCTGTGTCTGTTGGTTTCAGAGCCCCCTCTCTGGAAGGGCAGAGACAGCATTTCTGAAGCACAAATAACACTGTTGAAACATTATTAATTTGGTGAATACTCTTCATTATACTCATTTCACGCAACAAAAACGGACACCAAAATTTTTCCACGTTTTTCGTTTAAATCAATTACGCAGTCATGGGAAGATGACACGCTATACTCTATTGGAGAAAAAAAAGTAAGCCATAATGTCAACAGATAACCTTCGATTTCGAGTGTTTCCCTCAAAACTTGCAATCGAGAACTTTTTTTCATTCTTTTTGCCTGATTAAACATCAACAAGAATACACAGGGGTTACCGATTGCTGTGCAATTAGCACTTAACCTTCAGACCACAATGATAATTCCAGCAACTCAAAAAGAAAAAAACTAGATACTAAAAAAATCAAAATTATCATTTTTGTGAGTCACTCGCACATTTCGTGTCATTTAGTCTAAAACTGAAAAAAAAACAGAAAATTTTTCACGACAGCGAGTCAAATTCTTAATCACACCACACTTGATCACCTAGGAGCTTGAGTTGACAAAAACTTGACGAAATTAAAAACAGGCTGCTCAATAGATCCTTCCTACGGACATTAGGTTTTTAATTTTTCGGATTTAGGATTTTTAGTTTTTCGGACATGGCTGTAGGATGTTTTAAAAAGCTGCAGTAGAATTTTCGATGCACAAAAAAATCACATTCTCTAAAAATTGAAGCAAAAGTAATCAATTTATTGCGTTTACTTAAAACTAGCGTGCAACACAACTCCGGCGCTTCTAACAGATAATTTGCTAATAATAATAACATGAAAATTGCTTTACTAAAAAAATAAGAAAACAACGAAATGTATGCAACCGTAACAATAGACGGGAACGTTTTTATTTCAAAAATTAGACGATAAAATTAATATCAACTCAAAAGTTCTTTTTAAATTGCAATGGTCAAATCCTCAATACTACTGGGTTTCAGATTTCTGTATTTTAACGGCGACAAAAAGCCCTAAAATGGCCGACAGCATAGAACTGCACTTTCCATATTTAAAAAAAAACTTTTGGAACAATTTCACTAGCAAAATCAGTCAATTCATAAATGAGATTCATGGTTTTGCTTAGTTATTTTTTTATCAATATTCCTTATGTATATCAATTGCTGCCATCCAACGTTTAATCCAGTGCATGTAATTTAGAAAAACCGACTCTTAGTTAAATTCTTTTTAAAAAAATTCTTGAAATATAATGAAAAACGTGAAATTTGAAAGCTTCAAAAAAAATTGAGCCATTAAATTAGGATGAAGGTTACGTCAGCAACTAAATGAAATAAGCTGACAGCACCCCATTAAATGATCGACAATTTCAAATTTCTCATCAATCCGAATTTTGAGAAGTTTATTAATAATCGGATTTCTATCGTTCAGTTAGAAATTTAAATGTATAAACTGACTAGTAGTAAAAATCAAAACTGGTAAAAAATACTTTAAACGTAGATACTATTTGAATGAACAATTAAGATTTCTTTGAAAAAAAACAGAGTCCATTATTCATTAGAAACCCACTAAAATGAGCCAATAACTTACTAAACATTATAGCTTAAGCTAGGCTGATTAAAATTTAGACTGACCGTTTTATAGCTACGAATCAATTTAAGATGCTGAGATGGTTGCCAAAAAACTTCCAAACAAAATTTTATACCTCAAATAACCACACAACTTGAACTCAACTCCTGTGTCTGTTGGACATAACCGACTCTGTTTGATTCTTTTTATGAAAATTCTTGAAATATAATGAAAAACGTGAAACTTGAAAGCTTCAAAAAAATTGGGCCAATTAGGATGAAAGTTACGTCTGCAACTAATTGGAATACGCTGACAGCACTCCATTAAATACTCGACAATTTCAAACTTCTCATCATTCCGAATTTTGAGAAGTTTATTAATTATAGAATTTCATGAAAATTTCGCAAAAAAAAAAACATGAAAAACGTCAGATCTCGGAAATTAAAAGCATTTGAGTAACCAAAATCGGAGACAAACTTTGCAACCCCTGAGAGTACTCTCCGAGTACCTAAAAACATGGTTGGACACTTCAAATTCTGTTTAGTATATTAAATGATTTCTTTTTGAAATTTTTCTGAAAACTTTAGAAAAAAAACGTCATATCTGGGAACATTTGGAGGTAAATTTTGCAAACCCTAAGATTACCCTGACAATACCCAACTACAGGGCTGTGAAAATCAAACTTAGTGGAGTTTATTAAATCTACGTTTTCTGAAAAGTTCGAAAAAAGAATCATAAAAAACGTCATATCTCGGAAACTAAAAGCACTCGCGCATTCACATTTGGAGGCAAGACATGCGACCCATGAGAGTACCCTGAGTCTCATTTCGAAAAGAAAAGGATTCGCAGACAATATTGCGACCCCTGGGAGAAAACTTACAACATCTCACTATCGACTAGTTACTATATACTAGGTGAAATAAACACTGAGTTCAAACTGGAAAAGCGAAAAAATTCTTTAGCATTGCAATATACGATATAGCTTAAATTGAAAAAACTTTTTCGTTAAACATGCCCGAATGATAAGTTGAAAAAAGCTTTTAAATGGTTAGACAGTGAAGCTCGCATTTAAATATATACTAGAAAAGAAGTTAAAACATGGTCTTGAATTTTCTTCTGGTACCTCCTTTGGTACAATTTCATGAGAGCCATTTCTGGCTGACCAACCCGGAAACATTTGTTAAGCACCCTTTGACACCAATATCAATTGATTTCTAGGCGGGAGCGCGCGCTAGAAGAAACGCCTCCTAAAACGGCCTATATGTACCATCACTCTAAATTACTCAAACAAACTATAGCTGCGAAAAGTTTTTTCAGTTGAGCTCAATTTGTCTGGTATGATGTCCATTTTTGGGAAAACATTTGAAGCTACAATGTAACAACAACCCATTTTGACCAGTTTTTATCGCATGACTCAATTCAAACGGCAAAAAAAATAAATCGGAGATATTGAACTCCTCTCATTAGATGAACAAAATTCGCAAAATTTTTATTAGGAATATAGCATTAAGTACATTTTTACTTAATTTCACCGTTTGATTAATTTTGGACACCATTTCACAAAATTTCATATGCTCGTCAAATCAAACAAGATGAGGTCATTCATATGATAATATTATTGGCGGCAACTTTTTAAGCCAAAAAAAAGAGGCCGAAAAAAATTCAAAAAAAATTTAGAGCCAAAAAAAATTATTAAGTCCCCCTCAATCTCAAAAACACACACGTACACTTCAGATAAAATTTTGGCCAAAACCTACCAAGCAGAAAGAAAGAACAGCAAAAAAACAGCCGAAAAAAATTGATGTTATGAGAAAAATTGAACTATAACTTCCATTAAGATTCTTAGCATTTTGTGCATTTATTAGCTCAAATTAAAATTTGTAGCTCAAAATCAGGTCACTATGCCGATAAAAGATAAGCCGAAACCATTTGGGCAGCATAAAGCTTTTGAGCGAAAAAAAACAACAAAAAAGAAAATATACGAAGTCAAGGTTACTAAAACTACAAACAGCGCAAGTAAATTGCGAACACTAAATGCAACTACTGTAAATTGCGAACAGCAAAAACTCAGTTTGTCTCGAATGGTGTTCACTTCGAGGAATACACTTCAAAAATCACAATTATTAGCTAGAATAAACATTGAAACGCAAAATACGAGGTCAATAATATTTGGCACATATGTTCAGCCAAACAATGTCATTAAAAATTTGCCTTAAATAAAAATTTGACTTAAACTTTTGAGTCTCTTCGAAGCTTATATACGCAAGGGAAACTTTAATTCCCCTTTCAAATGACGTAAATTCAGGTCATTAAACAGATATATTATATTTCATAGCCGTTCAAGCCGAATAAACCTTCTATATAAATAAAGAGTTGTTAAATTTACAAACAAAAAACTAATTTCGAAAAGATTGGGTATTTTGAATATATACATTTTCACAATAACTCTGTTGGTTGACAAAATATCAGACTTAAGGAAACAGGTGAAAAAACAATTCAGTGATTTTTAAACAAGTTGTTTACATACAAAAAGCTACACTGAAGAAAAAATTAAACACCTCAGCAATTAGAAAAACGCTTTTATAAACTTAATTGATTATGTAATTACGATCTTAGTTTTTTTCTCAGATGATATTCGCCCAATTTAGAAATAGGTCACTTAAAAACTGATTGTCTGTTACTGATATTGGTGAAACCAATTTTTTTTTCAGAAAATTGCAAATATGGGGAAAATATTCTACATTTTCATGCACAAACTTTATAACTTGAATAACAAATTTCAAATTTAATAAATTGCACATCTGGTGTTCAAATATTCAAACTTTGGTATTTAAAATGCGATCAAACAACTATTTTTGTTTAAAAAAACTGGTGTTTTCACAGGCAGAAAACCAAGTTTCCGAAAGAAAAACTAAAACGGTCCCATAAATTTTTTTGTGCGTTACTTTCTTTCTCAAGTATATTGGTCGTACGGTAGGACAGTTGAGAGGCTTTTAATTTAAAAACGCTGGCTAATCACATGCGCAATTACCAATGCCTTTTCGTCTTTTGCGGTGTTGCTAAATGTAATGGTTAATTAGGCATTGTTCGACATTAAGTGACTTCAAAATATGTCAAGGAGTTTGTCAATATGTATCAAACTTAAGTAAAGCTTAAAACTTGGGAGGATGAATCTGATCCGCTTGTCCCTGGGCCATTTTATTTTGCACGTTTGTAAAAATTGCATAAAAAACCATTTTTTAATGAACAGTATGGTGCCTTTAAAAGCATCTATTTCATTTTTGCAAAAAATTTGAACACTTTTTAAGATCGGTTGACAGCGAACGTGGTTGAATTTGTCAAACGTTAACAAAACTTTCGATCCAAATTATTTCCTGTATCTTTTGATTAAAAATGTGGTGACCATGGCTTTCTAAAAATCAAACGGCGACCCCCAAAAAAGATCTTTTGTCTATTTTTGTTTTTTTTTGCGCTCTTTAAATCATGTTCACTATTTGTTTTCAATCAAACCGATTAAATCTTTTGTCATTAAGGATAATGATCGTCTCCCAGAAAACTTTCTGTCGTGATTTAGGATGCAAGCTACCAGTAAAAATAATAAAACTGAACTCACCTTGTAAATGTCTTTCTTCATAATCAGTCAATCAATTGGAGCAAGTTTGCATTGAATATTCGGCAGAAATCGTAAATTAAAAGTTGATTTGACTCAACGTGGAAAGAAAGTCATCAAAATTTTGATCAACACAATTTCTTTCTTGCATTCAAATAAAGCATGGAGCAATTTTTGATCACTTCTAGAATATGTATGAACTAATTTGACGTCAAATTAGAACATGTTTTTCTATTCATGAAAGCAAAATGTTCAGTTTTACTTCAAAATCTGTTCAACCAACTCTAATTTAAAAGATCGACTGAATTTCTTACGAAAGTCTTCAAAGTGTAAATGCAACACTTATGTTAGACAGACAGTTATAGTATAAATTGTTGTAAAATGTAGATAACAAATACAGTCGAAATAACTGTTAGAAAAGGAATAAGGCAGGTAAAGGGAAATAATAATAAGTTCTCGAACGAATAAAGGAGTAAATTGTCTGGGGATTCCACAGCAGTTGCCTACTACAGCATAAAAGCGGGAGGTCTGCAAATAACACAATGTTAGGAAATTCTGCTTTCTTTACGTTGTAATATAAAACAATTTTGTCTTGATCCAATTCCAATATGAATTACATTTCTGTAGCTCAACTCTCATTTAAATACAGGATTTGAGTTCGAAGGAATTCTGTAAACAAATTGAAACAAACACGAAAGTAATGACCAGAAGTTTTAATGGAAATAGGTAAAAAACAAAACCAGGAACCAAGGAGCCTGGATTTTCTTAAGAAATGTTTAATGAAAGCTAAAAACTGGGAATAGAGAGTTCAAAATGAATTGAAATCAGGGTTTGCGGTCACCTCGAACATTTGATATTTGTTTCAATATTTAACAATTCTATGGATATTCAAACTCCAATGAGTAAAATATAGTAGTAAAACTAGCGTATGAATTCAAACAAGCTTTGCGTTTGTCTAAATGTTAATGTTGCCGATACATTTACGAAAATCAAGTAAAGCAACGAAAATAATTCAGTTTCACTAAGTTCAGATCCAAGCCATTTAACAATACCAACTTTGAGCTCACGATTAAATTTTGCCGTACAATTTAGAATTCACGTCGTGTAATAAGTAATCGAAGAATTTAGCAAAGAAAGAAAATGGTTAACCGTCAGTGGATAAATACTACAAACCGTTCGTTGCTTTAAACAATCAGTCTATTTTTGTTCATATTGTACTCACGTAAAAAACATTCGCTAGCAATAACGAAGAGTTGTATGTAAATTCTTGGTAACAGCTGAAAAAAAAAGAAAAATTAAGACTAAAAACATTCGACTCAGTATGCGGCACAATTTGGTTCTTGTGTTACAGTACAATTTAGTCTCAGTTTTCAATGCATTTACAACAACAGTATATGAAAATATGTATACCACAACGCACGTAATTTAACATTTCAGAGCCCAAAACACACTACAATTCACGTGCGTTAAAAAACGCGCGACTTTTTTTTCATTTCTTAAATAGTAAAACTGAATATAACTCCGTTGCAACGAGAACGCACAAGTACAATAAGTGTATAGAATTGAAAAAGCAAGCACGACATGCAAGGATGGCACAAAATGAAATTCTAATTTAGCTGAAGGATTTATTTTTACTTTACTTACGTTGCTCCAATTCCCTTCTTTTACCTATACACTGATGAATTCTCATCCACGTTTGCAGAGAAAAGCAAATCACTTTTTATAGAAATAGAGATCAGTGAATAAGGTGGAAGGAAATACTATGGAGTGCGGTCAAAATTTAGACAACCTTAATTTCATACCGGTTAAAAAGCAGACAATACTATACTATTAACTTATAAGAATCGAGAACAGAAAGCAGACTTAACAAATAAATATTCAAAAAAAATTTACTACCTAAGTTTGCTCCCTGTTACCGATTCTGATTGGTTGATATAGTAGTCGACTTTATCAGGTGTCTACTTTATGAGTTGTCTTCTTTTTGCTTCGTAGCCAAATACTATTACATGTATACAATCCCGTGCCGCGTACATCTTCGCTTCTGACTTGACCAACCATTTTACCTTTATTTCTATAACCAGGGAAGAGCACAAGCACTTTATTGTTTTCTCTGTTTTGTTCGATTTTTAAGGGATATGCAATGCTAGACCGGATATAGCTGTTCATAGGTAGCAAACACTACTACTTTAAGGTATAATGTGAGCATCGCCAAAATACGGTTGCAAAAATGTTAAAGAACAAGGGCACCAAAAAGTAAAAAGGGATATTTTTGAACACTTTAACTTTATAAGAACAAATATCTCGTTAAAGCTCTTAGAATAAATATATCACGTTAAGAAACACTGTTTAATTGGCCTTCAAGAATATCACATTTACAGAAAACTGGAACAATTGATTTTTTTATTGTGCTGGAAATTCAGAGCATAGCCAATCGATTGGAAAAAAGTAATGAATGCAAGTAAACATAAAAAAGTGACTTTCTTGAAAAAATCTCAACAAGGGAAAGTTCTAAGAACAAAATTGATGCCTTTCATGCTATTTGAATTCCTAGAACAAATTATAATTGGCGCTTTTTTTGATAACATGAACCCAACTTGAGAAAACTGGATCAAAAGGTAAAGTTTTAATTCCGATGGGAAACATTAAAAAATCAATTCCAATTTCGAAGCTAGAAATCGTTCACCTATTGTCGCGCCATTTCCACATTCGTTGTGCCATTCTTCCAGACTGGCACAGCGCAACCTTCCGACGCAACACAGAAATAGAAATAGAGGCCTTAATGGTTGAAAATTACTGCAAAGGAGGGTCAGAAAATTGTGACATTCGACCAGAATGGACGAAAATGCTGATTCGAAATTTTAGCAGCTAACCTTCCGAATTAGCAGTTATGAAGGATTAGCAGTGTTATTGGAACGATTAGCCAAACTGTGAAGGCTAGAATATTCTGGTGTTTCAAAATTTTAAATTTTCGAAGTATGGCGTCATATTTCTGAGAAACGTCAGAAACGGTCATTTTGGCAGAAAAGCCGAAATAAAACCCAACAACAGCAGCAGTTGCGACAATAACAACGGAAAAACTTAGAACCGGGATTAGAGACGAGCAGAACTAGCAGAGACCGTTCCTAGTTGCAACTATTTTGTCGCTACAATAGTTGCAAGGCCGTTGCGAACAACGGTGAAGAGTAGAAGACAGCCTTCAGAAGGAAAATAGAGGTCTTATTTCCCCGGATTCAAGAATCCGGAGGGGTCTCGGGACTGAAACTCTGAGCCTTTTATATAAACTTTCAGCTTCCCTATTGTCTTGAATTGAATCTAATTAAGATCTGAATTCATTTTGCTAGAATGAGAAGCTAGGAGTTGGGGGTAAGGGTTGATCCATCTTCGATGGAGATGATGATCTTTATCTACTGAACAAAAACAATAAAAATTCAATAAATAGTAGTAGCCTCATTTTTAGGAGTGACCTCTTGGTCTGGAGATACATGAGCTCACTGATTTTGCATGTAATTAGGTTAATTTGAGCGTTCTGGTCGAAGTCGGAGAACAGTAACGTTTTTTCGACCCGATATTAGAAAGACCACCAAAAAAACTGGCTTTGGTAGAGACGGTGAAAAACATATAAAGCTCTGTTTAGACGTTAGCCAGTCGTCTTAGAACCTAGCTTTATTTTCCGTCGATATGTACTTCCGGCGAATGTTACATAGATGTTTTTAGGGCGCTCCTGGGTGTTATTTTTTTTTTAACACCATGACCGGCAGAACCGTTAACGAGCACTCCGTGCCGAGCAGATGCTCACATTAACGCCCTTAATAGGCCAAAATCGCCGAGGCGGAAGGGTAGTTCGGAAAGCGGAAGCCTTCCGGATTACCGTGAATAGCTTTTTAACCTAGTTAAGACCAAAAACTCACGAACCAGGAAGGGTGGGGTGATTCGCGGTCCCGTCATCTCCAGAGTGGTCCGTGACCAAAAACACTTAAAGATATATTTAAAACCAAACAAAAAATAGTATAGTACCCAAGGAAACAAAAAACATAAAAAATAACTGAAAAAACCAAAGAAGTAAAAAAAAGTTTAAAAAATCAGTAGAAATTATCCCCCAGACAAGATGTGATCCAACCCCCCTGTTTGTTGTTGATAAATATATTGGTGTTACAGGCATTTATATCAGTCAGGATCGTTACGATCAATTTTTTGGCTCGTTTGCGAGGCTTGTACTGTAGGGTTATTTGAGAATTCAAGCACGTTAATGATAAATTGCGCTCAATCTGGAGGGGTCAGCTGATTTGCGCTCAATTTGGAAGGGCCTTGGGAGACGACTGATCCGGCAAGCAGTACAAGGAGCAACAAGAAGGGGCTCAACGACAACAACAATAGACTGTTGGGTATCGTTAACAAGTTTTGTATCCGTTTTGGTACAAAAAGTAAGATAGCAATCTGTGGTGGGCTCGACAGTGCTGCACTGTAGTGACCCTTCACCGAACTGCGAATATCCGAGTTAAGCACCTTAATTCAGATATTAAAAAAGCCCGGAGGGGTATAGTATTACTAATATTATTGCTTATATAGCCTATATTAATACTCCTATATCGTTCTTCAGTGAAAAACACAGAAAGCAGACCGGTTTTTAGGGTCAAAGTAGCGATATTTTGATCCCCCCACAAATCGCGATTTTTGAGACATCGACATATTTTGAAACATAAAAAAAGCGCTAAATTAGTGTGTTGCATCGTAATTGCACTACTACAATAGATAGAACCGGTTAAGTTTAGTTCGGAAGTGGTTGGAACAATTTTGGTACCAAGAACCGAATTTTCGTGATTTTTGAGAAAACGGAACAATATAAATTCAGAAATTTTTTTGAAATTTTTGAGTTAGGACAGTAAAAATAGTTGTTTGGACAACGTCCACTAGTGAATCTACAGATTCTAAAACCCGCTTCCCAAAAGCCCTCCGGGTTGCAGAGAAATCGAACTTAACGTGTTTTTTTTTGCTGGATTCATCAATCCGGAGGGGTCCAGGTAGCATAGTTTTTCGCAAATTTTTTCAACCAAAGCGTTTTAGACCGGGTCTTTCGCATTGAACTAAAAGATTATAGGCCTTCTGAGCTCGGATCAATAATTTCTAGGTAGAAAAGAACGGAATTGCGAAAAAAAGTTAGGCGGAACCTATAGGAGAGAAAATTTTTGAGTTTGGAAGAAAGACGTTTTGGTTATTAACTTTTGGACGACTGGACAGATCCAGTTGATCTTGATACCATTAGATCAGAAATCAGCTGAGCCCTCACGTTTTATAAAAAAAAATTTGGAAAGCCCTTACACCCCTACCAAAGGGTAGAAACGGTTGAATAAGGCAATTTTGAGCTGTTCTAGAAGAATTGAGAAGGCTTAAGGCACCGGAAAACCTTGATAGAGCCAAAAATTAGGCTAGCGATTAGACCCTTCACCGTTAGCGTGAATTGTCGAATAAGAGGCCTAACTTCAATCCGGAAGGGTCCAGGAAAGGATCACATACCCTTCCTAGTTAATTCAAACAGCATAATAGCATCGCAGAACGTATCCGGAGGGATATATTTGAAAATCAAGGACATCTCCGAAAAGCTACTTTTACAAAACCAGAGGGCTCCCTATCCGGAGGGGTCCCAACCGGGAGGGGTCTGGTTATCACAAAACCGGAGGGGTCCCAATCCGGAGGAGTCTTATACTTGCTAACTCAGAGGGGTCCCAAACCGCAGGGGTCTCAATTTCGCCAATCCGGAAGGGTCCTATTTTTGCCAATCCGGAGGGGTACCTCTTTTTTCGTCAAACCGGAGGGGTATTATTTTATTAAAAGACTTAGGTAAACAGAAGAAAAGATTATAGTGAGAGGTATTAGGTTGTTAACAGGCAGGCTAGGAATCAGTGACTGCACTGGTAACTAGCCGTTTAAAAAAAGGACCAGACCAAAACAAAACAGGTCCGAACTCGGATATTCGCGATACTAAGTCTAAATTAAAAAGAGTGTAACTCATTGGTGTGGATTGAAACTTATTGGATTTCGTTAATATACAAGTTTTGTACTGCGACCGACTAAAAGTACAATACACATACGTTTTTCATAGAGGTATTTTTTTCTGTTATTTTTTTTGATTTTAAATCAACATAATTTGTGCTTGATTGGGTAGTGAGTACACTATCTTTTAAATTGACTGATATCATCATATTGTGCTAGTTCTCAAATCTTACGACCGATAATCGGTTAGTGTGAATAAACTATATACAAGCTGCACTCTGATAACATACAGGGATTCGTGGTCACCATTTAATAGAATGTTGTGAAATTTTTTGTGTTGTGTTATTATTATCAATAGTCAAACTAAAAGGTCACTAGAAATTGAATTGAGTGTACATGCATTAAGAAGGGATAGATTGGAAATGAGTCTAGACAAGTCAATAATACCTAAACGAGGTAATAGCTCTAGGAGTTTCAAAGAAAAGCAATGACCGACCCTTTTGTGGATCGGATCTCACGAGCCCGGATCGACAAAGGGGAGACGTTTCAGGCAGAATGGTTGAAACTAGGAGTCAGAAGTCCTAAGAAGAGCGAAAAGCTATATTAGAAGTGGAGGTCCATACGGACAAGGCCATGAATGAGAACCAGAAAATACATGGACCGGAGGGGAGAGACAGAAGACAGGCGAGTGAATCTACTCCGGTAGAACAAGGCCAGGATTTTGCCACTTCCACCAGGACATTGGACCGAGAGGAGATGTCGGAA